TGACAGATAACTGTCTGTATTACTTTGAATATACAACAGTAAGTAGAACTGCTCGATATGTCCTGTTTGAGCAATAAATAGATTTAGGATTTATCTATAAAATGTATTGATGATTCAGATAGTTAAGATATGGGTGAAAGGAGGTCAGATAGAAGAGGAAGTGAGGGAGAAAAAGAGTAAGTGAACAGCTAAGAAATAGTTTGTTCAGTGTCTAAGCAGACACCAGCACTCCTCACAAGCTTCACATTTACAATGAAGACAAAACAAGATCTGAAGAAACTTGACAAATGCTTTCTTTCCTGTTTTGATGTATTTCTGAAGCTTTTAGCCAAAAGACTAGTTACAGCAACAATTTGCTATTTGTTAGTCAGTTTCAGCTGGTATTAGGGGAGGGACATTGCCATTTTGGCGCATTTGATTGGACAAAAATCTTTGTAGTGCAGGATGTGTCATCAGTAAGTACATGTTAAATGTGTACACATGCTAAAATGAATTGTGTCAGTGTTTATGAGTACACGACCTCAAAGTGAACACACATGGACTAAAACCCAAAGCACCAACCTCCCCACTGTCATCTCATCAGCAAAGTGGAAGGAAATAATGCACTTTTTCCCTAGTTGTGTGCCAGATTTAGATCAAGAGACAGACAGAAGTTGCTTAATGTGCACAGTTAGTTCCCTCACTTTTTTATCATGCGTTTCCATAAGTCCCCACCATCCACATCACATTTAGGGAAACATATTGCAGATTAAGTCTAAGACTAATTGCTTTAATAACAAATAAACATGGTCTATTACTCATATGTTCACAGGACAAAGAGCCTCGGGGGATCATTCCACTGGAGAATCTTAGTATAAGAGAGGTGGAAGAACCAAGAAAACCAGTATGTTTCTACTTCAAGCTCTCAGTTAAATTATATTCTTTTCTTTTTCTTTTTTGTATTCTATCCATTTCATGCTTCGACCTTTCAGAATTGCTTTGAGCTTTACAACCCCAGTCATAAGGGGCAGGTAATTAAGGCATGCAAGACAGAGGCTGATGGGAAGGTGGTGGAGGGGAATCACGTGGTGTACAGAATATCCGCACCCACGCCGGAGGAGAAAGAAGAGTGGATC